CTAATATTTTTTTCTTTAGTCGCACTCTCTCGTGGTGATGGGTCGGATCTTATAAATGGAAGGTCTGTATCATAGGAGAATTCAAATTTACCCACAGTAGAGCATGGAAAGTGGTCAGGAAAAGTAAAGAAAGATGAACATTAAAATGAGTATTAATTTGTTTAATAAAAAATAAAAATATATATATTTATGTATATATATATATGTGTGTGTGTGTGTGTGTGTATGTGTGTGTGAGGAGTCCAATGAGAAGTCCGATGACTGTCTTGAGGTGCGCAAACAGTTGCGCTCACTTTCCTAAATGTAAACTACAAGGTACACTATTCGTGCTATCTAAACATACAAGGTGTGATCAAAATTTCAGAGACTATGCCCATGATAAACAACGGAAAAACTACAAGTTACAACCCCGAACTGTGTCTGCGCCAGGAATAAGTCCAGAGTAGAACAGGAGAAGAATTGGAGATAGCCTGCACACTGTAATCTGTGATGTTTTATGAACAGATATATACACTTAATGTTCAAATGTTTGCAAGTGTTGTGTGTTCCTTGGGGTCATTTTGTATCTTTTACATCATGTACATTGACTAAAATAAGTATTTTACCACAGTAAAGTGACTTCTACTTGTGATACTTGACGGTTGTGTTTCTATTTTCTTTGCCTCACTTTAAACCTGTTTTTCTCAAAATTCCATTCTTGAAAATCATAGCTATCAGCAAAATTCAGATAGCCACTATGAACAAAATAAAAAACAGTTTTGGAAAGCTTGAATCCAGCTTTCATATAGTATCAAAACCTAAAAAAGGTCAAATTTCACCATGTGGTGGGTTTTCCTAGATCGCATCACACACACATATATTATTATTTCTTAAAAAATAATTGTAACACTTTTTTATATTTAATGTAAAATAATTTATTTTCAATTAAATGATTTAATTTCCTTTACAGGCCATGTTTGCTGGAGTCACACTTGGGTAACTACCCTTGGCTGGCTGACTCGTGGCCTACCAGCAACTTCTCTCGAAATGGAAAAGACTCTGTCAACTGCTGTGCAGGCAGACTTGATTCCACAGATCAATACTACAACAGTAAGATCTCTGTCATGGGTGTTCCTCTACATTATGGTACTGTCACACTTACAAATCAAATCTCCTATAACTCATTAATCTGTTTTCCAGCTTCAGGATTATCCAATTATCTGAGCCAGAATGGGAAGTACAGCCCAGCCTCTAATGAAGGCGCAATATACTGTACCATTAACCCAGCCGATGCAGATGGTCATGACGTGTGCAGCCTGTACTCTCAGGGTCCAGACCCATACACCAGCACACCAGTCCTCTCCAAAACTGACCTCTACAGCATAGAGCAGGACTTGGATCAGTGGAGCCTTCAGTCCAGCCACAGTGGAGCAGATTATGCAAAACTTCAGTACCCAAGAGGCGAAAATGGTAGGAGTGACATTGATTTCAATCATGAGGGTTAAGGGTTTGGTCCTTTAGGTATTAGGTCGGAATTATGCAGACAGATTGGAGCAACAAGTGCTGCAACAAATGCTGATGTCAATTTTATGCAGATGGACTTGAGTTTAGCCTTGTTTCATGCTGTTTTACAGCCAAACTGATGAAGCAGAAGTCTCTAGGACAAACCTCTTCACCAACTTGGTCTGATGTGTTGTCCCTACATTCAGTACAAAACAAGGATGTTCAAAACACAGACAAAAGACACAGGTAATAACCATTCTAAGGCAGAACATTTGTATATGTCCAGATAAGCATGGTAGTTTGTGGTAAATGTACAAAAAACATGCTGTGATCATGATACATGATCAAAAAGCCATGGTAACATGTCATTGAAATGGTTCATATCTGAAAAACATGGTATTACCATGTTGCATGTCCAAAGACTGTGGTACAGTAAAAAAAATACATGATACTACTATGGTAAATGTCCACAAACCATAATATTATGTCAAATGACCATGGTATTTGTTATTCAAAAATCCATTTTAATACCACAGTCCAAGCTCTTGGTACCAAAAACATCATAATACCATGGTACATACTGTATCTAAAAATCATGGTATTACTATGGTGCATGTCCAAAGCCATTATACTGCACGATAAAACCATTGAAATGCCATGCTGCATGTTTAAAAACTGTTGTATAATTTAAAAAACATGCTAATACCATGGTAAATTTCAAATAACCATGGTACCATGTCAAAAGAACATGGTACTTGTTCAAAAACCAATGTTAATACCAAGGTGTATGTCCAAAAACTGTGGTACAATAAAAAAAAACATGAAAATACCACAGTAAATGTACCATGGTACCATGTTAAAATATCATGTTAATACCATGGAAAATTGTCAACAACCATTGTTCCATATCAGAAAACCATGGTACTTGTTCAAAAAGCCATGATAATACTATGGTGCATGTCAAAAACTGTGGTACAATTTAAAAGAAATGCTAATTCCACGGTAAATGTCAAATAACCATGGTACCATGTTAAAATACCATGGTAACATCGTAGTACACTACATATCCAAAAACAATGGTACCATATCAAAAGAACATGGTACTTGTTCAAAAAACCATGCTAATACCAAGGTACATGTCCAAAAACTGTGGTACAATTAAAAAGAAAACATGCTAATTTCATGGAAATGTCAAATAACCATGGTACCATGTTAAAATACCATGGTAATATCATGGTACCATGTTAAAAGACCATGGAATGTGTTTAAAAACCCATGTTAATATGACAGTACATGTCCAAAATCTGTGTTGAGACCGTGTTACTCTTTTATATTTTTTATTAGAGTCTCTCAGGCCATTTCTAGAAGATTTCATCAACTTATAAACCTGCTTTTCAGTAGCTGTCATCCGACTTTTTTTCTTTTAAGTTCAGACACCTCTGGATATAATTCTCCTTGTCAGAAAAGTGACCCAATATGGAACCTGTGCAACATGGTAAAATGTAGTCTGGGCGATAAATTGTGGTCTTATCTAAACGTATTTGATGTTTCAGCTCAAAGTGACAGGGGCTAATGATGTTAGTGCTTAGAGCCAAGCCGTCCTGGCTGTTTGAGACGCGGCTTCTCGGAATGAACCTGTAAGAATAGCCACGGGTTGGAATGAAGCGGAACCACACATATCAACCTTTGTCCTCAAATGCTTTCTTCCTTTCACATCATATTTTTATCATCACCCTCCATGGATGAAACCGCTTTGACAAATTTTTGATAAGCTTTTTTACAATGCTGTCTTTTGTACCCACATTGGATTCTCTTTTATATTATTTTTTTTACTTTTTTCAAAGGACCACAGTCTGGTTTTATTTACCTCAGTCTTTTATCGTGTAATGAAATCGCTGCTAGATGCATCAGGGGTCCAGAGTCTTTTGATATGTGTTCTCTTTGTGTGTTTGTATGAAGTTTATTTTTTCTTGCTTTGTTTTAAACCTAGTTTGTGTTTTAGTAGTGTACCAATATTTTAGGTTTAACTGGAATCCTAATGTTTACATCTCAAAAGCCCTGAGGAAGATGAAGAGTGGTGTCCTCCACTGCCCGAGCGATCTTATCTGATTGAGGGTCTGGAGGACGTAGCCACTCTGCCTTTGAGAGGAGAGGAAACCAACAGGGCCACGACCTACAGCCTGCAGTCCACAGCAACTCTCACACCCTCCCCCAGCGAGGAGCAGTACCCGCCGAACCTGCACCATCCGGACCTGCTGCCACGGTAAACACACACTTTAAAGGAGTAGTTCACCTTCATGTTATTTTTGTGGAACACATCATGTGAATTGAAGAGCATCCTGGCTGCAATCCTAGGGAAAAAAGCACCCCAAAAGTAACAAAGTTGCTCAGATGACTTTACTATATTACATGTCTTCTGAAGTGATATGACATAGCGATATGTTTTTTGTGCAGAACAAACTTACATTTTAGTTGTTATTTAGGTTGTCCAACCATATTTGATTTGACAGCTTAGCATCATGAATGAATGAATGAACAGGATGTTAATTGGCCATTTTTTAAGTAAATTGGGTTAAAAATGGTAAAACTCCTAAATATGGCCATTTTTATGCAAAGAAGCATTGTTATACAGTAGCCTATTTTGTGTGTGTGTGTGTGGAACAAACTGAAATTTAAGTTGTTACCTAACCATAGTTGATTTGACAGCTCAATATAATCAATGAATAATAGACAGATTGATAGATTGATTTTGAATTAATGGCTCCTAAAAATTCAACTTTGCCATCACAAGAATATTAATATTACAATTTCTGTTCATATCTTTAAATAAATCTTTAAAATATCCTTTCATATCTTATCTTTTCATATCTCTTCATATATTTTTATCTTTTTTCTTTATTAAAACTGATTTTACTTTGTTCTTGCCATGACAGTAGCTTTAGAATCTGACTTGGCAAAACTCTCGTGTGTCTATTCAACAGGAAAACACAGTGTGCACACAATACACAGTTTGCTCTTTCCAACCCAAAGCTGTTAACCAAGACAGAGTCTCTTAATGGCAGCGTTCCCAACCACAGCGGTCCTTGGAGAGTCATTGCTGAAATGGAGGAACTGTTCTCCAACAACACAGGCACAAGTAGGCCCTTCACCGCTGGAAAAATAACAGTTTTTATTACATTGCTGATGATTATGTAGGGAGTACATAATCTTTGTTTACTTTAATCTGCACTGCTATTAGGAGAATATACATCATTCACGTCCTCAATTCAGAAGCCCAGGCCTAAGAAGAAATCTCAAAAGGATGGCCTTGCGAGACGTGAAGCACTGAAACCAGGGAGTAAGAATATTACACATAGTTAATCAATTATTGATTGAAGTAATTAAAGCAGTTGTTCTTCTATAAAAATGGAGTGGATAGATGATCATTCACACTTTTGGATTGTGCGTGTCTGCAGACCTGCCTCCTCCACCTGAGCCCCCTCCTGTAACCGAGGACCCACTCAAGCACATGACAGACACACTGGACAACGGCGGGAGCAGGACGCCCCCACAACACAGAGAGAGAAGATCAGACCGCAGAACAGCTGCACAGTGGAGCACACAAGGTCAGACTTAAGGGGGAGCAAAAAAATCCTTAGCTAGTAGAGATTGCAAGTATCACTATTAGTACTAAAAATCAACCCCAAAATACCTTGGCATTCACATTGCAATGCATTAAAATATGGTATGTAATTTTTAACATAGAAATGGTAAAACTTCTAAAAATGGCTAGTTTTATGTAAATATTAAGCATTTTAAAATGTATTTGTATAAAACAATACTTAAAATTTATATATATATATATATATATATAGATTATGAAATCTAAATGTGTTGTCTAAATTATCTATTTAAATCTAAATGCAAATGTTAAATCTTAAATATAAAAAATAAATAGAAATGTTACATGTATATCTAAAATATGAATGTTAATTGAATTTTTAAAAAATTATGTTTAAAATAAATTGGGTTACAAACTGCTACATATAGCTATTTTTATGCAAAAGTTTTTTTAAAGTTATGCATTTGTGTAAATGTTAATAACAAATAAATATACATGTTGTTCATAAAATCTAGACATATGTTAAATCTAATTGTAAATCTAAAAAATAAATGTTAACTATAGCATTAAATATTAATGTTATAAATAAATTGTATATTGTTATAAATAAAATACATAAATATAACTATATATCAGTGTGGTAAAACAAGGGGGCAGCTTTTTAATTAAACAGGTTGCGAAAAATATGGCCGGTTTTAAACAATAATGCATTTGTGTTAAATCAGTACCTGAAACATTAAGTTTGATATTTATTTTTATATTAAATCTTCTATTTAAATTTAAATGTTAATCTTAAGTATAAAAACAAATATAAATGTTACAAATAAAATATAAATATAAATGTTAAACCTAAATTATAAGTGTTAAATGTAAAAAGTATAAATTAGTAATGTTTTAAATAAGTGTTAAATATAAATCTAGATCTAGGACATTTATATAATTACAAATCAAAACTTTTAGAGAACATGCAAATTAACATCTCTGGGCTTTCTTGACATTGGACTAGTGTGACACTGAACACTTTAGCAATGCCCTGGCAGCCATCCACAGCATCATCCATAGTAACACACTAGTATCGTGACTGCAAGTTTTGCACCACTCTCATCTTCCTTATAAAATGTAGTTGTGATTGATATCAACAAAAATATCTGCACCTAAGCTCCCTAGAAAAAATCACTTAGAACACCTTGAAACAATCTGGCAACCACCCACAGCATTAGCCATTGAACCACACATGGGCAGGCAGTGTCGCTTATTCTTCATCAGTGTTGGGTAAGTTACTCTAAAAAAAAGTAATTAATTGCTAGTTACTACAGTAATTACTTCTTCAACAGTGTAATTAGATTACTGTACAAATTACTCTCTCCAAAAAGTATTTAATTACTTGTTACTAATTACTTTCTAAATCCTATATATCAATCTCGAAAACAAGTTAATGATTCAAGGATAGACATGAAACGGTTCTTTTAATTCTTTCAAATAAATAACAGACATTATTCTGGTCACACTTTAGATTAGGGTCCCATTCTTACTATTAACTAACTATGATTTTTGCCTCAATATACTCCTAATTACTGCTCATTAATACTTAGTAAAGTAGTTGTTAAGTTTAAGAATAAACAGCCAATATCCCAGTAATATTCATGCTAATAACCAACTAGTCAATAGTGAGAATTGGACACTAAAGTGTTACCGATATTCTCATTAACTCACCAAAGCATTTAAAGTGAAAAGGGTACATAAAAAGCATGCATTTTAAGGTTAGACTTTAAATTTCGATGTAAAATCCACTATTGCATTGTATATAAATGTTCTTCAGTCTATACACAGTATTAAGTTCAATTACATAAGAAGTAACTGTAATTCAATTACAGAAAAAATAAGAGTAATGCCTTACTTTACTTTTTCAAGGGAAAAGTAATTCAATTACAGTAACTAATTACTTATTAACACTTACTTAACACCCAACACTGTGTTTTTGTTTTTTGTTTCTCGCTGTATATTTGACTGTTGTATATTTCACTGCACAGATGAAGATTTAATTCAGTATTTCAAAGCAAACCTGCTGTCCAGCGGTCAGATGTCCAGCCACTGTTCCCTCTCCAGAAGCTCTGCCTCTCAATCCTCTGCAACCTCGTGTTCCTTGGGGGCAGGAAGGAGGAGAAATGAGGTTAGATGAGTTTGTGTGGGATCTCTTCTGGTCGCACATGGTCTGAATATGTTCATTAGTCACTGGCCACGCGTGGGGCCTTGGAGCATTGCAGTAAATTAACAATCGATAAGCTCCAGGACACTGAGCGTGCAGAGCTGGAAGCACACTAAATGAATCAGGCAAATGATTACATTTCCACTTTTTTAAAGAACTATGTTGTCTCATGTGGTCTCCATGGTATTAGTATTCCAATGAATATTAAAAATACAACTAATTTGTTTGTTGGTTAGAGCTAGGTAGAATATTACTGCATGTTACTGCTTTAATGTGCCACAACTAGATTGCTTGGCAACAAAATTATGATTTTATGTAATTTTGGGCTTGTTTATTTTCAGAAGATGATATGAGGAGAGGAAGTTGTCCTGTTGTTCACCACTCTACATGCAACATACGCCATGCCGTGTATATGCCTCCACGCTCTGGTCCTTCACCTCTGTTTTTTTTGTTCGTCATTTTTGTCTAGGTATTTTTTTAGAAAAGTTTTTTTAATGATCCATTGTTGTCCTACCTCTGTATGTATATATTTTTACAATGTTTTTGTGTGAGGAAAAAGGCATGCCGGAAGGTGTGCTATTTTATTATTTATTATTATTATTTATTGTATTTAGTAGTTTAAAAAGAAAATCAAATGTTTAAAAAAAATGTCAGAAAATTATAGATGAACATGATGTTTGAATGTATCTGGCGCATACACGTCTCAATGTCTACATGTAATAAAAAGGTGTTTCAACATTTTTGTGAAAAATATAGCAGATATTATCAGGCACAGTCTATGTGAACAAACCATCCAATGATACATTAGTAAGCCTATAGAATACCAAATGTTTCTTGTAAATCCACACTATGAATGTCACCTTACTATCCTGTGCTCACTGAAAGGTTTTTCTTTTCTCCTGGAGAATGATTCATGCCATGTCAGACTGTTTTCCACTAATGCATCAATCATATGCAGTTTTACATGTTCGGATTGCATACAAAACACAATAAATCTCATGTTCTAAGACTTGTTTTACAGTACTGTTACTGATATGGATTTCTGACAGCAAAATTTTGTGTACACTCAATAGTAATGTAAGTGATTGTGAATTTCACAGTGATTCATACTGAACAAATTTCATACCGGATTATGTCTGTTCATGTTTTAACTATGTGAATTCGTAATGTAGCTTTAAGGACAAAACGTATTTGCTTCTAAACAGCATCAGTGCAAGAGCATCAACACAGCTGTCCAAAGCAGAAATGTGCATTTTCAGTAGAAACAAGCGCAGAAATAAATAGACGACACGTTTAATGAATACACAAGTCTGTTTTGAGCGCATTAACTATGGCTTAGTTAAAGTATCTTCTTCTCAGGAGATCATTTAGAAATTTTAACAAACACTTTCTGACCTCTGCATTGGTTCTGAATATAACCCCACTCACCTTGTGCAGTCTAGTCACATTTGAAATCACACAGAGTAGGCAGCAAACAGGCACAGGCTTAATTAACTCACATGTGGTGTATTTAAAACCCTGTGGGCCCCTCTGGGTTTAAACGAGAAAAATTAACATTTGAAAATGTATGCTAGTGTGGACGGGCCGTTGCTGGGATACGTGTGGGTAATGCTGGGTATTTCAGTTAAATATGGGTCAGTCCTGTCCCCAACACTCATTTCATATGGTGTCATGTGTGTTAAGAGAAATTTTTGATGATATCTCAAAGCACATCCCAGTGGTTCTTTGGGACAGCAGACATTTAAAATCTCTGCATTGATTGGTGGGGAGTAAAGCTCCATTAATGCAGCACTCAGGATTGATGAAGGTAGTCTGTGGATTAATACAAGCAACTTTGCTGGATGAGTTTTTGGTAGGACAAGCATTTTGTTCAGATTGTATAGCAACCGGATCCCACATTTGAGAGTTTGTGGAAGAGACTTAAAATCGAGGTTGTTGTTGTTTGATTTTTCTAAATAGATTTTAGCGATTTTAATTTACTTTTTTTTTTTTTTTTTGATTATATCATATAAGGCCTATATTGTCATGGTCCATGGAGGCAGCTTCGTGTTGTACTGTTAGAGTCTCCAGTGGAATATTATCATTTTTTGAGCATGTTAGCAATTTTCAGGATGTATGGAAGCCCATTTCCAATAAATCCTACAGAATAAAAAAGGTAATTGTGAATATTTATCAGAAAATTCTGAGGGGAAAAAAGTCCAAATGTATAGATATAAACTCAGAATTGCAAAGGAGAAGAAAAAATCTGAAGAATTCAGACTTTTTTCTCATAATTCTGTGTGTATATTACACAATTCCGAATTTTCTTCTTGGAAATCCAAGTTTATATCTCTGAATTTTGAGGAAGAAAAGGTCTGAATTGTAAGGTAAAAAGCAGTTACCTTTTTTAGCCCATGGCAAAAGCAGCTTTCATTAATTTTAATTTTTAATTAATTAATTAATTTTTCATTCATATGGATGAATGGTTACAATAAGTTCAATAACATGTATTTAGGAAAAAGAGTGAATGTCTTCAGTGTAAATCAACAATGTCATCAAAACAGTTGACTTTAGTTCTTCACCATAGTTGGCAGGACACACAAGAAGTTCATCAAAGTCAGTCAACTTGACTTGTATGATCTGATGAACTTCCTTGGCTAATTTATGACCCACAATAGGCTTATAATTCATAATTCAGTATTGTTAGACTGAGGATTAGCTTAAAGTTAAACCTCAGTCTAACAATACTGTTCAAATGACCAGTAGAATGGAGAATTAAGAAAATTGCTAAATAAAACAATGAACTGATCCACTGATCTGTAATTGTACCTTTAATACTTAAGTACATAAAAAGTAAGCACTTTTGTGCATTTACTCAAGTATAATTTAAAATGAGTATGGGACTATTACTGCCCTGATATTTCAAGAGGGCCTCTTTAATTTACTTGATTTGTGTTCTTCGTCCACACTGTTTATGAGTGCAGTGGATTAGGGTTTTATATTGTAATTTTCATTCCACATTGACAAACTGAACCGGAGAGGAGCTGGTTGGCTCTAACTGTGAATGATTTCCTATTTTAATTAATGTGGATTAACTGAGCTGCAGCAAGGCCTGTGCTGGATCATTGTCTAATGAGGAGAAATGACTGACAGAATGCATTATTTCACACATTTGTAAATATGGCAAAATGTGCTCTAGAATGTGTAATGAACTTGCATCACTATATGAGATGCAAATGACTGTTACTTTTGATTTTCATTCAAATGTGAATCTGAAAATACAGTTCCAATCACAGGCAGAAGTAATATTTAATAATTTTACAATTCTGGCTCTGAATTTGCTAGTCAGTATTGATAGACAAGTAAAATCTGTTCTTGATTAGGCTGAAAGCTTGAATATAATAACATAAATTCAACACCATTTGAATATTTTTATGCATATACAGACTCTTTAATATTGTTTAAAAGAATTACAATAAGCATGATATAGCATTTATAAAATATATACAGGCATATTCTTTGTTGTAAGTAAATAATGTATAATATATTTAAATGTTTTAAAATATTTATTTATAATAATTTAATTATTTTATTTAATAGTTTAGAATGTATATTATTATTGTACTAAAACAAATTATTAAAAGATTATCTTTAAAATATTATGTTAACATACTGTTAAACCTAAAGAAAAGAGTTTTAGTTCATTCAGATATAGTACTTTTTTACAGTAAATATTCGTTAATTACCAGAGCACAAACTTCAAAAACAGCCCCAAAAACTCAAAAACCCCTAACATTGTGGATGAGTGATTAAAAACAAGAAACCATGAGAATCTGTCTTCACCTAGATCAGGGGTAGGCAAGTTCGGTCCTAGAGAGCCGCAGTCCTGCAGAGTTCAGCTCCAACCCTAATCAAACACACCTGGGCCCGGTTCCCCGATAACGCTCACTCTTAGCTCGCTAAGAAGACTCGAAAGATATATCTTACCAAAGTTGTTTATGTTCCTAAGTGTGTTCCCCGAAGTGTCCCTTAGGAAGCTTCTTAACACGCTGCCTCTTACGTTCGACGTTACAGAGGCGCTGTCCCAAGTGAAGGAGCTGAATTAGTTGGAATCGATTGCTCAGGAATCGATTTTCCACTTCACTCGAAGGTGCATTACGGCGTTAAGAAAGACAACAGGTTCTATGCAAATGAAACATTCCTCAAATTATTCCAGTAACATTTATTTTAACAGTTTAAGTTATCCGTAAAATATAGACTATTAATTAAATTATCAAATTGTCAGTAATATGTTCACACGATATGTTGTGACGGGTAGACGAACCGGGTATCCCTCGCTAATCATCCACCCTCCTTATCCCGTTGTGCCACTTGTGCCGCTTCTTGACATGGGTTTAACGACTTCTAAAAATTATGTAATACACTTTTATATTAATGGTAAGGTACTTTAATCCACAAGGAAATTAAGCAGTGTCAATCTAAGTGCACAATCAGATATAAAGGCTCGCTTGAAGAGGCTGCGTAAAGACATTAGTTTGTAATGTACATTATATGTGTGTTTGACGACGCGTAAGGCTATGCATGAGGCAAAGCAGCGGAAAGGGAATCCTCTGACAACCATGTGACCTGCGTTCAATGCCCAATAAATGAATGAAGATGAATCAGCAATGTGACGTGGTAATTTGGGCATATGTCAACTATTGACACGAATGGTCCAGACCAACCTTACGAAAGTGTGACTTACAGAAGATATACTTAGTGTACGAACGTGTCGGGAATCGTGCCATAACGTTAAGAGAGAGGTTAAGGAATAGGCTAAGAACTACTTAGCGATAAGAACGTTTTTGTTTTTGCACCCTATATACATATGGTGTGGCCATGACTGGTCAAGATCTGAGTCGAGTGAGTTCAAATCAGATGATCAGGACACAGCAACAAGTCTCACACTCCAGACCTCAAAGTCTGTTATAAGACCTAAAGCTGGTTCTAGCTGGCTAAGATGTTTCACAGGTTTAGCATGGCCCAAATCTCTCTAAAACCAGCAAATATAACATCCTGACCAGGCTAAGAGACCAGAAAAATATTAAAGCATTTTTCAACAGGTGTATTTCAGAAGTATTCTAAAATTGAGGCCTTATTTCACTACTTGCGTATTCAGTGTTTGAGCACATTTTTGCACTTTTTAAAAAAGCACTGGGAGAAGATTGGAAACTCAATTGCTTGAAGCCATTGTTTCAGTTGTAAAATGGATTTAGATGAGCACAAATCTAATTAGCCAATTAGCTAGCCAGCAGCACAGATCCACAGTGACGTTTAGCCTAATGAATCCGCCACACTGCGTTGTTTGCCGTGGTTTCCTCAGCACTCTGAAATGAAGCGTGTGTCCCAAAATCAGCTTTTAGCACCTCAGAAGCCATTCAGACAGGCACAGGAGGATTACAGAGACTGTGATCATTTAACCATTGTTGCGTCATTCCAAAACCAGCGCCTATGACGCAGAGGATGACGTCATGATGCATTACTTGCTATGCTGAGGACATCCGCCTTGTATAATTTCACCCCTGGGTACAGAGAAAATGAAGCTTGTATAATTGAGGAGTGAGTTAATACTGCATCACAAACTCTTCAATTATACAAGCTGTTTTCTCTCTTGGACCCCATGAATCTAGTGTCTGTCTCCACAAATCATTAATCAAAAAGCTCTTTTTTTCTACCATTCCTTTGAAGCTGTAATTGTTCAATTTGTGAAGTTTTTTTATTTGCTTGTTATAACTAGTCATATAGTCAACAACACATGCACTTTTTTTGACGAGGTACATAAAATGTAGTTTTTCTTGTTAACAAAAAAGTCAGATTTTATTAAACAAATAACAAAAATAAAACAGGAAAAAACAATGTATAAAGTACAATAACATTGATCTTAATATACAAAAGAAATTGAGACAAAGTAAGTAATTAACAGAGTATTTAAAAAGGCCTAATAACCATCCTGTCCGTTTCAAGCCAGACATAGTACAAAAAAAAGGACTTACCCTCGTTATAATATATAAACATATATATATATATATATATAGGGAATTATTTATTAATTTGTTCAAATATAATAACTGTCTCATTCATTGTTGCATTTAAAAACATTGCAGGAAAGGAAACAAACACAATGTCTGCAGACATATTTAAACGTTAATCTTAATTTTAATTTGACACATTAATCTTAATTTTAATTTGACACAGTGTTAATTTTTAACATTACATCAGTTGCATATGCTCTGCTTTTGTGGGTCGCAAATTGCGTAATGATAATTGTTCGTGAAACAGAGCAGAATGCAGAAAAGCAAGTATACTTTGAGTTACTCATGTGCATGTGCAGAAAAAATGAAACAGTGGAATACCAAAATAGGTTGTGTGTGAATGCCCTTCAAATAGAGGTCATTCATTGCTGTTTCATATTGGAAGGATGATTGGAGGATGGAGGATTCCTATACTAGAATTTTATATCCACCATAACAAATATATTTTTTGAGCGTAACATTCAGTGATGATGTTTTTTTGTAGTTCCACTCCAAGTTAGCATCACCCAGCTTCCCTTTACAAAACAACCCAACAGGAATTTTCCACTGGCTTTTGGATTACTGCAGAAAATAAGCCCTGTGACCAACAAAAGCAGGCCAAAACCTGGAAATGGTAATTGATCATAAAGATTCTTAAACATTTAGTTCATCTTGATAACCACAGACCTTATTGCATGCATTTAACCAAAACCCCATTAACAAAAACCCACTGACTTTGGGACGGTGGAACTGGAAGTGCTAAACTGTTCATTAGTTTCCAGGTTTTGGCCTACCAAAAAGCAGCATCCTATAATAGTCTCAGGCCTTTACTAGTCTCAGAAATGCTGTAGACCTATGTAGTATAAGCAGTATGCAGTGTTGGGAAGGTTACTGTTTCAGATACTTTATTAAAGTAATATAAATGATTACATTTTATTACATTTTTGATTACGTTTTTGATTACTAAATTTTGATTACTAAATTTCTAGCCAATGTTAACTCTTAATCAGCTAATCAACTCTCAGACAGGTTGTAGCCTAAAGCGTTCATTGCCAGTGTGGTTTGATGTAATTGGCAGAAGTGGTGCACTGAAAATTCAACCAAGAGAACCAATCAAAAGCATCAGAATACCATTGCTTTACTAAATGGCCTTTAAATGGCAGGAGGCATTGTGCACATCAAAAACAGGCAAAGCAACAAATGAATATTATTCAACATATCCTAGCTTTTTACAGATTATATACAGATGTAACCCCCTTCGTAATCGTTAATATTTTCGTAAGTAACTGTAATTTAATTACACATTTTTTTCTCAGTAATTATAATGGATTACAGTTACATTTATTTTGTAATTAAATTACATAACACTGTTACAACACAACACTGGCAGTATGTTGAATATGGTGCAGGCCTCGGTGGAACTTACGCCATAACTTTTGCATACCAGACTGAGCCAAAACATGTTTTTATATGTACATATTGCAGGACAGAATTGCTTGAAAACAGAAAACACAGAAGTACATCCCTTACAGAGACACTATGAAGAGTATAGCAGTATGATGGGTGACTATTTAGAGTACTACAAGCACTACTATCAATTACCAGAGCAGACAGATGCTGTTGACAGGACAGGCGAGGAACCACAGATAAAGACAGATCAAATATCCTCATATTCCCTCTGACACTTGGCCGTGGATGTACATAGAAAGAGTTTAAAGTGCTACTTTCTCTCTTTTTATCCTATTTATGGTAGAAAGTCTCCCTCTGCTGGTTGTAAAATGTACACATCCTCGTCAACTATTTTATCCACAAAAGCTGCTTTTGGCTGTAACAGCACCACTTTGGTCATATGGCTCTCTAATCCTTTAACAAATCCAACGATAAACATAGCCAAACCTTCACCAACTCTCCTGGAAAATATCTTAATCATTCACATTTACAAAGTTCCAGCTGCTATTATGTTCAATGTCCTGAAGAGGATTGATGTTTTATTAGTTCCTGTGGGCAGATGAGCTCTCAGATGAGATTATCTGTTCATTACTTTCTATTTTCAGTCTATTGCATTACTTTAATGTGAAGGCTCTAGGTGGCATCTAATGTCTAAGTAGACATGGAGCTTTCAGGGGAGACACAATGTTCACTTAATGGATTCTTAACCTTTCGGGAGACAGTTTAATACTACACTAAAAAGAAGCTTTTGAAATAAATGCCCAGCAGTAGAAATGTAGTAAAGTCAATGGATAAATAATAACCGTGTAGTGCTTATATTTTAAAATCATATATTTCATATATTCTTGCTGTAAAATAAACAAAAAAGTATATAAATGATTGAAACGTCTCCTTTATACCACAAATATTATAATGAAAAACAAGAATTAGAAATGTTTTGACAATTTCCTGAAAAACTGCTCGTCATTTTGTTGTCAACTTTTCTATGATGTTTCTATATTGTCAGGTGAAAGTACTTTGTCATCAGTATTAGTGAAACTAGTGCTAAATAGTTTTGTATTTTCAGCAGATTCTCTTAAGCACTCATGTGGCCTCTCTGATTAGCTGACAGCTCTATTGTTGGTCTCCGCTCTCCACCCAGCTCCTGTGCCCTCACAAAAACTAACTGCCAATAGCTCATGGAAATCTGCCTGCCTTGGCATAATTGAGCTTCCCACTATTCAGTCTGATAACATTTTTTGGGGGAAAAGAGGTAGGTTTTTTTCATATTGTATGTTGATTTGTTGTTGTGAATTGAATTTTTAAATCCCTTCACACTTTACATGTTCGTCTAGGGCTGATGTGATGGGGTTAGATGCCATACATTTGTGTGAAAAAAGTGTTCACAAACTCAGTTATCTTTATTTATACAAGATCAAAAAAGACATTAAAAACCATTCATTAGAAATTATTTAGCTAGTAAGAGATAAAAAGAACCAAATTAATTTAACATATGAATTGAATTTTTAAATCCCTTCACACTTTACATGTTCGTCTAGTCGCGGCTGATGTGATGGGGTTAGATGCCATACATTTGTGTGAAAAAAGTGTTCACAAACTCAGTTATCTTTATTTATACAAGATCAAAAAAGACATTAAAAACCATTCATTAGAAATTATTTAGCTAGTAAGAGATAAAAAGAACCAAATTAATTTAACATAATGAATTTAGAATTGAGCTTGTTCAGAATTTTTTTTAACTTAAGCTCTACCTTTTATGATGGTAAAACTGATGATAAACACTGTTGTTGTTCACTGAAACTAAAAGTTGTTTCCATTAATTAAAATGAAGATGAAATTAAAAATAAATGTTAGATAAGAAACTTAAACTTAACCCTCAAAGTATGCAGTGTACCGCGGGCGGCACACTGGATCTCTAACAGGTTCAAAATCCTTAAAAACAGAAAATGACTGAAACTAAAATAGCTACAGTTTAAAAAATTATAATAATTTTAAAACTTTGAATAATCAAAATTAAAGCTAATACAAATGACAAAAGCACTGTCAAAGTTGCTGAAACTTAAACTAAAATTCAAATGAAAACTGAAAATATATAAAATCAAAACCTAATACATCTATAATTAAATTAATAATTTTTAATAACATTTAATACAATCATACTTGCTACAGTTTTTTAATTAATCTAATTAAAGTATGTTTACATACAGTATGCCAACCCTGAAACAACATACAGAACTACCACATTTTGTTATAAGTTTGATTGCATCATTTAATAATTGCTGTTAATAGTGTTCATCGTCTGTTTTATTACGTCTTTAATTGATCTTTCCTTACATTTCTGCCATATGTACATTAACTGACAGTCACCACTGATAAGCTACTACTAAATATTGTAGAAACTTAATTTGCTGTAAAGTTGCTTTGCAACGATTTGTATCGTGAATTAATTTTAGTATTGACATTTGTCAGTGTGTCTGTAGGTGCAAGATGTACAGCTTTATGGGAGGTGGATTGTTTAGTGCAGGAGTGGGAAATATACTCCTGGTGATCTCCACTGCCACTGATTACTGGATGCAGTACCACAAGTCTGGCAGTTACATGCACCATGGCCTGTGGCGCTACTGTGTACCTGGAAAATGCATGACACACACAGACAGCATCGGTGAGACCGTCACACCATGGACATAAAATACATACATTGAAAAATTTTACAAAGTAAAAGAAAATTACAACTAATCTCTGGTTTTATTTGAACAGCATATTGGGATGCCACCCGGGCCTTCATGATCCTCTCCATCTTAGCTTGTTTCTTTGGCATCATCATCGGTGTCATAGCTTTCATCAATTACTCCTCCTTTAACGGATTTGACAAAACCTTTGCTGCGGGAATTCTCTATTTCATTTCATGTAAGAATGTCCAATCCTAAAAATAACATGAATAAGTTAAATTATTCTTATATATCTAAACTGACTGTACTGTATGTGAAGTCATTGTTTATTTGCATTGTACATCCCAGGCTTCTTTGTGTTGCTGGCTATGGCTGTCTACACTGGGATGACAGTCAACTACTATGGAAAACGATATGGGAACTGGCGGTTCTCGTGGTCGTACATAATGGGTTGGGTTTCTGTGGTGCTCACTTTCTTTTCAGGTACACTTTATGTTTATGTGTTATGCCAGGTACACTTTATGTTTATGTTCATGAAATGAATATTCTGTTATGAATATACACAAAGTTCATTTTGATCAAACTGAGATAGGAGTTGACAATATTTTCTGTGGTACTCAACAAAATCCCACAGCATTTAACTTGGGACATTCCTTTAAAGAACAAGCATTAATACAGAAAAAATTAATTAATGGGATAGTTCACCCAAAAATCTCATTAATTTCTCACCCTCTTGTCATTCCAACCCTGTAAGACCTTCGTTCATCTACAGAAAGCAAATTAAGATATTTTGATGAAATCGAAGAGCTAAGAATAAATAACAACTTCACTCAACAATATCTTCTCTCCTGTGTCAGAATTTGACATGCCTTCATGAGAGTACCACGTATGCGAGTACATTCCTCTGATTGCAAACAAGGCACAGCACATCCAATTCTACGTCAGAACGCCGGCTACTACTTCAGCAGCACCACACGCATGCACCATGAACACGCGTCAAAGACTGACAGTGAAGAGAAGAAAATGTTGAATAGTCACTATTTTTGCTTTCTTTACACACAAAAAGTATTCTCGTATCTTCATAAAATTACAGTTGAACCACTGATGTCACATTGACTATTATAACAATGTCCTTACTACCTAATCTTGCCCTTGAGTTTCTCATCTTCAACTGTGGACTTCATGTTGAAGGCGTAGGACTCAAGGCCATTCTTGGCAGCAACCTTTTCTCTTTGGACATCATCCTCAGCCTTGTACTTCTCAGCTTCCTGGACCATGCGCTCAATGTCCTCCTTGCTTAGACGTCCTGGTAAAGTTGGGACCATTGATTAGGACTTTGGTTTCCAATAACAAAAGACACTCAGGAGATCAAGATTTATGTTACCTTTGTCATTGGTGATGGTGATCTTGTTCTCCTTGCCGGTGCTCTTGTCTACAGCAGAGACATTCATGATGCCATTGGCATCAATGTCAAAGGTTACTTCAATCTGGGGGACGCCACGTGGAGCAGGAGGGATGCCCGTCAGCTCGAACTTTCCCAGCAAGTTATTGTCCTTAGTCATTGCTCTTTCACCCTCATACACCTACAGTAGAGGAATGCATTAAAGGTGAAACTTTGCCAGAAACTGTGGACAAACAAAAAAACTAAAATAAACATCTGCTTACCTGAATGAGGACACCAGGCTGGTTGTCGGAGTAAGTGGTAAAGGTCTGTGTTTGTTTGGTTGGGATGGTAGTGTTACGTTTGATCAGGATGGTCATAACACCGCCAGCAGTCTCAATTCCCAAGGACAGAGGAGTAACGTCCAGGAGCAACAGGTCTTGGACATTCTCAGACTTGTCTCCAGACAAAATGGCTGCCTGGACAGCTATAAAAAAGGAGATATGTCTCTAATGGGACATTTATGGAATATTAGGCCAAAATGATGTCCATTTTCATTACCTGCTCCATATGCGACAGCCTCATCTGGATTGATGCTCTTGTTCAGTTCCTTCCCATTGAAGAAGTCCTGGAGCAGCTTTTGGATCTTTGGGATACGGGTGGATCCTCCAACAAGGACAATGTCGTGAACCTGAGACTTGTCCAGTTTAGCATCACGGAGGGATTTCTCGACCGGATCCAACGTGCCACGGAAGAGATCGGCATTGAGCTCTTCAAAACGAGCCCTGGTGATTGAAGTGTAGAAATCAATTCCCTCATAAAGAGAGTCGATTTCGATGCTGGCCTGAGTGCTGGAGGACAAAGTGCGCTTTGCCCGCTCGCATGCTGTGCGCAGCCGACGGACAGCTCTCTTGTTGTCGCTGATGTCCTTTTTGTACTTGCGCTTGAACTCCGAGATGAAATGGTTGACCATGCGACTGTCAAAGTCTTCTCCGCCAAGGTGAGTGTCTCCGGCTGTGGACTTGACCTCAAAGATGCCATCCTCAATTGTAAGAATGGACACATCAAAAGTGCCACCACCAAGATCGAAGATCAGGACATTTCTCTCAGAACCGACCTGGTACCAGACAAATAAATCAGTTGTATTCAACAATTACTGCTTTAATATTGTTGTAAGTTAAAGTAGCTCACTTACCTTCTTGTCCAGACCATAGGCAATGGCAGCAGCAGTCGGCTCATTGATGATTCGTAGAACATTGAGGCCAGATATAGTCCCAGCATCCTTAGTGGCCTGGCGCTGAGAGTCATTGAAGTAAGCAGGTACCGTAACAACAGCATTCGTGATGGTCTGTGAACACAGATTCATGAAGTGTAACAGCTGATTCAGTCATCCTCTGAATCAGAAAGTACTTGTTCCCTATAATGTTTAAGATGTGTTATTCAAACAGGCCTATTTCATGCTCTAATAAACTGCTGTGTGTCAGTGTAGACAGGTTAGACATGTCAACATCTTTAGACATACAGCAACAAGGGAGATGGTTTCTCAGAACCATTATAGCAACTACAGGCACTGTGTTTGACAGAAACTTACTTTTCCAAGGTAAGCCTCAGCAATTTCCTTCATCTTTGTAAGCACCATGGAAGAAATCTCCTCTGGGTAAAAGGTCTTGGTCTCCCCTCTGTATTCAACTTGAACTTTGGGGCGTGAGCTGTCATTTATAACAGTGAACGGCCAATGCTTCATGTCTGACTGCACAACTGAGTCGTCAAACCGCCGTCCAATGAGCCTTTTTGCATCTAGAGAAACAAATATGGCAACAAACTCTGAACATGTTCAAAAATACATACAGTGGGTACGGAAAGTATTCAGACCCCCTTAAATTTTTCACTCTTTGTTATATTGCAGCCATTTGCTAAAATCATTTAAGTAAATTTTGTTCCTAATTAATGTACACACAGCACCCCATATTGACAGAAAAACACAGAATTGTTGACATTTTTGCAGATTTATTAAAAAAGAAAAACTGAAATATCACATGGTCCTAAGTATTCAGACCCTTTGCTGTGACACTCATATATTTAACTCAGGGGCTGTCCATTTCTTCTGATCATCCTGGAGATGGTTCTACACCTTCATTTGAGTCAAGCTGTGTTTGATTATACTGATTGGACTTGATTAGCAAAGCCACACACCTGTCTATATAAGACCTTACAACTCACAGTGCATGTCAGAGCAAATGAGAATCATCGTATAAATATGTTTGTAAATAGCTATTTTGCTTAAATGAAGACTAAAAACAACTGTTTAGCTACATTTAGATGTTAGACCATTAATGTACAATATGCTAATTTATTTTCATTTTGAGATTTGCCAAAGATTACACTTAACAGTGTTATTAAATTATTTATGTGTTTTAATCTTAACTGACTGAGTGAGTGCAATCTAAATATAAAACTACAGGAAATTAGTATGCACAATTAAATGTCCAATATTGGTTGATACAGATACATTTTTAAAAATCTCAAAATTATATCATGCATAAAGCTGCTTACCAAACACTGTATTGGTGGGATTCATTGCTACTTGATTTTTGGCAGCATCTCCAATCAGCCTCTCTGTGTCTGTGAATGCTACATAACTTGGTGTGGTCCTGTTACCCTGGTCATTGGCAATGATTTCAACTTTGCCATGCTGAAAGACCCCCACGCAGGAGTAGGTGGTGCCCAGATCAATGCCAACTGCTGGTCCCTTTGACATGGTTTCTGCTGGCAGCAAACACGCATGGCAGTGGTTAATATTCATGATGGAATATATTTTAAGCATTCAACCCAAGCCTTCCAAATAAGGGATGTATGTTTGTTTGATATCCTATTCATAGCTCAATTCTTTGTTTACACTATAGGGCTGTTTACTCAGAAGCTTTATTGGCACAGTAGACATCAGCTGATCCTGTAGCCTACATGGACCACAGAGCGGATCAGCTGTCACTGTGTTAAAAAATGCTCTTTCAAACAGAGCTGAGGAAAGCACTTCACAACAGCTTTATCATTCCTTAGGTTTAATTAGTGATTATATGTTTATAAATAAAAACCATGACAAAACAAGTCATCATTTACTAATGTCGTTCCAAACCTATATGACTTTCTTCTGTGGAGAATAAAAGTCAGAAAGAATGCCAGCTGAGTAAAACGACAAAATATTCATTTTAAGTGAACTGTCCCTTTAAGATAATTGACTGCCTCTGAGGGAAAGTTAAGGTTCAGTTTCCTATCGTTTGCTCCAAACTATTATGCAACATTTGTGATTTCCGTAAGCATTCCTGAATTGGAAAAACTGCGAGTGTCTTATTCTGGAATCATCTGCTGCTAGAACATTCCATAACCCCAAATCAAGCCCGCGCACAACACTCAAATGGCATTAACGTTAATTAATTATTAACGTTCGAGACCATCCCATATTATCGCTGGTTCAGAATGCAGATCGAATGCAGTTAAAAATATTAAAATAGCATTTAGCTAGCGCTACTAAAATATGACAGTTTTGTAATTTCCTCACTCGTGTTGGAAATGTTAGCGGAATTACAGCGTTTGTCATTCCCTAACATTCCGCCTAACATCACTTTATGATTTACGACAAAAAAAGAAAGTCATAGCTTAGGGGCAACATGAGGATGAATAAATGATGACAGTATTTTGACTGTTGAGTAAACTGTAACGTTAAGTTGCTAAAAAAAATCAAACCTGAACAGCATCAAACTCAAAGCATATTAATACGTCTTAGTATTCTAATATTAGCAACTGTGCAATAGTTTGTTTATATATATATTTTAAAATCTTTAACTTTAAACGCATAATAATAACACTATTGATCATAATGCTCAGCAGAAACGCTGAGTCTGTCAATCACCTGTGGTGTCGCAGCTCGAGACGCGCGCGATGTCTGCAGCAGAAGGCAGAAGTGTGCTGTAATGCGCCTTAAGACTCTTCCTGAGAACAGTCCAGAACCTCCAGAATCTCAAGAACATGAGACGAGCGCCGCAGCCAATCACGTCGCGCGGCCGCTGAAGCGTTCAGACTCAGAGATGGAGAACGCCAGCAGAGTTCCGCCTATTACACAGCAGAATGTTCCTAAACGGATGAAAATGTCGATCCATAGAGTGCTAGAACATTCCCAGGTAATTTAGAGAACGTTTTGCACTAATCAGAAATCCAG